AGGCTGGACGACAAGAAGCCTTTTTGCAAGGAGATGCTCCGAGCCCGATAGAGTTGAAGCCGTTGACTGAGCTTCTTTTCGTTTCTTTTTTCGCTGCTCCTTGCTTGCTTTTTAGCTGCTGTATTTGCTTCTTCCTGCGTCGTCGACTTTGCTCGGTACTTGCTGACCCAGAGACGCCAGCGTCCATCAGCAGCAGCACGGGAGGCAGCATGTGAATGCGAGGGCGCTGGCCAGCTTGCGGGCTCGCTGGTTGAGCCAGGGCATGCAACTATCAGACATGCTGCTGCTGCTGCTGCTGCTGCTGCTTGATGTCTCCGTCCAGGGCCTGGATATCCCGACTGTGAATGAGCTGTTACTTACTTGCACGGTTAATATTACGTCCATTATTTCCGTGCAACGCATGCTCGTCATTTCGCTCGCCGCCGGCCATGGGGGGAGGGGGGGGAGGTCCAGGGGGATGGGTTGGGTTTGGACCCTGGCCGCTGCGGTTTCTGATAGCTGTTGTTGTTAACTGTCCCGGACATCAGATATCGACATACAACGCAGCTATAATATTGTTAGCTATGCAGCTTCCAAAGGACCCTGACCTGGTACTCCGTAGTCTGGTTATATAGCATCGCCGCACCCTGCATGCCCTGGCTGGGATGATGGACAGAAGCAGCAGAAGATGAAGAGCTACAGACCGGGATGAGCCCGAACTGCTCGTTGCTTTTCTCTAGTTATTATTATTATTCGCATCTTGTCTGGCTGCTGCTTGCTCAAACTACGGAGTTATATCTCTTACTGTTGCTCCAGCAAGTGCTTCGACTGCGCTTCTTTCGGCCTGCTTCCTTTTTTCCCCTTGTCGTTCCTCGCTTCTGGGTCTCTCATGCCCTTGATTGGCCCTGGCAGAGGGAGAAGGGGAGGACAGCAGAGGAGCGGGAGGGTAGCAGACAAGCAGACAGAAGCGAACCTTCGCGGCATCTAGCACATCCACATCGCAACCCTTTATACGCCTGCTGGGCTGGTGGACCGGGTCCTACTTATATCTGGAGAACGCTTTGCAAATATCCCGGCCAAACTCATTATTTTTTGCAAAAAAAGACAGAAGACGCAGACGAAGAAGAAGCAGGAAAAAGCAAGGAATAACTCTCCACTGCTGATCGTTTCCAAGCCTTAAAAAAGCTCCCTGTAAGTAAAACTGTCCCTGCACCTTGGCCTGAGAGGGCGGAAGAGCATCATACTTAGCAGTATCCATAGGATGATGGTAGTATTACACTATTACCCTCGAGCTATACACGCTCCATAGGTTTACATGCTTTCTTGCGTGTACGTTACTTATGTGTGTATCCCCACGATCTGACTTGCTGCTGGATACCCATATAAAAGAGGGAAAGAAAAAGGAAAGAAAACCAGCCATCGAGGTATATACATCATTGCATTTTCCTCGCCCTTGGATGGCCCTTCTTTGCTTTTTCTTCTCTCCGGTTTTTGCATTATTTCTGGTGCCCATGCTATCTTGCAAAAATCGGCTCTGAAGAGTGGCTCGTGAGTAAGTATACGGTCTCCCCTTCGTTGTTCCCCCCCCCAAATTTGGGGGCGTGTCCCTTTTCTATATCACCCCCAAACTGACAGAACTCCTCTTTTCAGCCTCGATATATACGCCCTCACTCTCGTTCGAACGTCTTCGTTTCTTTTTCTTTTTTGGCTTTCTCCTCTTGCTCCTTGTCAGGAAGCCCACTTTGAACAAGCAAACCTGGGCAGTGACGGAGTAACTACATGATCAGGATTTCCTCTTCGTCTCCCTCGCCTTTACTTTTTCCGTTCTGACCTTGACCTGCATCTGCCATCGTGCTGTGGTATCACCGTACTATTCCTTTTCACCCACTACCACGGCCGAACCACGCATTGGTCCCTTCGCAAGGTCGCCCTGAGCCCTGACTGCATTGCAACACCTCGGATATTTGGTTGATCTACCTGCAGGAACTGTGTAAGTACGTATCTTCGGTAACTAGAGATGTCTCCGCCCGCTGCCTCGTTTTCTCGTCTTCCCTCTCTCCATTACCAATTCTCGTGCACACCCGTTTACCTTGCTTCATTGCATTCTTGTCCTGTCAACTATTGCCATCCCTTCCTGCATCGTCATTCTCCATGACTCTCTACCTTTTCTTGCAAAAGAATTGAAAAATTAAGAAAGATTACAACCATTTGCTGCCTTTTTTTTTTTTTTTTCATTTGCAACAACCCATGTCTGCTTCTGCTTTGACTCCTTTAGGCCTGGTATACCCCTGCCCTTACATAAACCGTTCTCCATCAAATATTGACATATAATATTTTCCATATTAGATATTAAGTGTATGTACATATGTTTTATGTTGTATGCATACTTGCCCCCTTCCCTTCACCCTCCCCCCCCGGATCATCCATATCCGACCCCTGGCGTGCTCGAGAACCCCCATCGGACCTGACGATCTCAGATCTCAGTTGTCAAGGTACGCTTAAAATGCCTCCATGGACAAAACCTGCCTTGAGAGCCGGTTAGACTCTTCCTGTTTTTATTTGCATTTTTGATCTACTTTCCCGATTGGATATTTTTCCTTTGCAGAGTCTCTCCCACTCAATCTCCTTGCTTTCTTTTTCTCCTTCTTCTCTTTTTTTTTTTATTTTTGCTGACCCTCTTCCCTGCTTGCTTTTTTTCCCTCCTGCTTCTCCCCTTGGCCTCTGCCTCGCTGTGTCTGCCTCTCTCTGCCTCTCTGTATCCCTCTCTCTGGTTGTTCCTCTCCCAGCGTATGATTCCCTGTTCTTATGCATGGCCACTTTCTTTTCTTTTTCCCCCTTTCACGGTGTCCATATGCTAATATATTTATAAACACAGGTCTCTACTGAGTATTTACATACTTAGGTATATGTATCGACATCTGTCTATGAACTGTTCCATATGCAACTAGTCCTGTGTGTCTTCCCCCAAGTCACCTCCTCCCCAGACACCTTGATACTTAAGTATAGCAACACTTCCGTCCACCGCACCCACCTACGGGTCTCTCCATCAGAAGACCAGGGGGAATTAAGGTGCTGATTCCCACTCTTTCTCTTCTGCTTCTCCCCTACCCGCCAACTTGCTTTTTCTTGCTTCCTCTTCTTCTCCTTTTTTTTTTTTTTTTTTTTTTTTCAAAATCAAAGAAAAGAAAAGAAAAGAAAAAAATATACCAAACTCTCTGCTTTCTGCCTCATTGCTTTTTCCTCTGCTCCATCCTGACCTTTTCTCCCTCGACTTTTCGATCCATATTCTTTGCTTTTTCCATGACTTGCTCATGACTTTTCCAACTCTTTACGGCTCTTAAATTAATCACAATCTTGATTTAGGCAAGATCCGTTGACGCTTGAAGTTTAAGACTCGACTTTTATTCCCGGCTTCAGCGGACCTTATTTCCTCCTCTGCTTGCTGCTTACTTGCTTTGCTAGTCTATCTTATCTCTCTCTCTCCCTCCCTCTTCCTCTCTTATCCCTTGACTCGCTCGTCTTATTTCCAACTCCCGGGTCCAGCTACTTAGTTTCCGTCTCGTCACGTCCACTACATATACCCTCCATCCCCCTCCAACAACCCCCTTTTCCCTTCCGGAGCATCACACCTAAGGGTCACCTCCCTGTATTTGCACATACATACATGAACAACATACCACCGTCGATCGACCTTTGATATCCCTTCCTTTACACCGTTGGTGGTCAATCATCCGTCACTCGTTCCTGTCTTCTCCCGCTCTGGCGCACGCGGGATAGGAAGACAAAATACATACAACCAAGGAAAATTATATACATATATACATACAACACCACATACACACATACACATAAACATCAGTGAATACCTCTACTTTCACCATGCCTCAAAGCCAGCGAAGAGGACCCTGGGTCCCAGAGGAGGACCAAACATTGCTGCAGCTAGTCAGCAGTCAAGGACCAAACAACTGGGTCCGCATCTCACAGCATATGAAATACCGGTCACCAAAGCAGTGCAGAGAACGATTCCACCAGAACCTGAAACCAACATTGAACCACGACCCCATCTCGGCCGAAGAAGGGTTGATAATCGAACGACTTGTGAGCGAGATGGGCAAGCGGTGGGCAGAAATCGCCAGGAGACTAGGCAACAGAAGCGACAATGCCGTCAAGAACTGGTGGAACGGAAGCGTGAACCGAAAGCGTAGGGGCATGGCTGCCGGTGGTGGTGCTGCCTCGCACTCCCCTGCTTCTTCTTCATCTCCCTCCAGAACTCCCAACGGACGAGTTGAACCGCCCTACCAGAAAGCATCATCCAGGTCCCCGCAGACACAATACAGATGCCCACGGGCCGAACACGCAATGTACAGCCAGGCCTCGCGCATGGACAGACAACGATCCTGGGCTTCCATCTCAGACTATCAATCATCACAACACCAGCAACACCAGCAGGATGAAAGAGGGGAGTACCTGCACCAACGAATTCACTCGCCCCGTCCGCTCGAGTACCGCTCATCACTATACGATCTCCCCAAGGAGACCCTGAATAGTGCAAGATGGCAGCAGTGCAACTCACAGCCGCAGTCACCAGCCGCTGGACGGCGAGTCCTGACCCCAATTTTCACCACACGCAACTCAAACCAGGCAACAGATTCGGCTATGACCTCTCCTGCATTCTCAGAGATGTCTCATGCTCCCTCACTCGGGGGGCCTCCTTCCATGGTGTCAGACCATAACTCAGTCGCCTCTGCCTCGCCCAAGACAGTCACCTCTCCTTCTGCCCTGGCAACTCCAGTTGAAATCCACCACAGCCACCACCGGTCTTCATCATCCGCCTCTTCATACGACGAAAGACGGCGAGGCAGTGCCCCGTTAATTTCGTCTTTCGCCAAACCACATCATTCAAGTGACAACCTCCTCTATCAGTCTCATCCTATGCAATCCTCCTTTCGGCACCACCAGCACTCCATATCAGCTCCGCATAACCAGCTACCACCAATTTCGGATCTTGAAAAACCTGCTTCTTCTTGTTCTACTTCTCGTGATTCTCGGATGGGTCTCCAAGCATTGCTCAATTAAGGCATTTTTCTCCTTTTCCTCCCTTTTTTTCCTCCCCCTTCTCGTCTACTTTATATCTGGGTTAATGGTGGTTGTTGGTAATGGATTGAAAACATCATGTACTATGGTCGGTGACCAGTCCGATTGAATTCCTCCTTTTTCTTTCTTTTCATTTTTTATTTTTCTCACACACTCACATATTCATCTTTCCCTTCCTACGTTAACATTCTTATTCTTACCGGCGTTTCGGCTACTGGGTTGGGAAGGGATCTGGAAGGGGCTGCATTTTCAAAAAAGCTGGGCTGAATATAACAACCAAAAGGGAAACCCGACTGGGAAAAGCCAAACAGAGAGTCCAGAGCGTGGGGAGAAGCAGAGAAGAAGCAAAGCAACATCTGCGTCTCGCTTTTCTGCTTGCTTTGAGTCCGTGGTACTCCTGCTTTGCTTTTTCTCCTCTCTTGTTTCCTCTTCTCTATATTTCCTTTTTCGATTCTGTTTTCGCCTTTTGTTGCTTAATTCTTCTTGCTTATTGTATATGTCTTTTTACCTGCTCTGGTATAAAGTTATCTGTTTGACTTGTATTATATATACACACACACATACATACATATATTTATGCTAGCTAGTTGGTTACATAGCTACACAGAAACCCCACAAACTGGCCATTTACTGTCGAGCTTGCTTTATGCTTGATGGTAGTGGGGGAAAAAGGGGGGAAGGGAATAAATACTATTTGAACATTAAGGATTGGTTTACCTTAGCTGTCTCTCAGGGAGAAGAAGGAAACAAAAGGAAGTTCCTCTGAGCAATTGATGTACTGTTGCGCTCTTCGTCTTCCGCCATCTATCGCTGGCCATCTCCGCGCCTCGTCCGCCTTGACCTTTCGAGCCCTTGTCCCTCATTGCCTCTGCCCATTATTCAAATCAAGCCTAGCGGCAGCGAGTGACCGCTACGAGCTGCTTTTATGCAAGGCATAGTTTCGATCTGATTTTCCCTCAGACGACGGCCGTCAGGTCTGCCTGTGGGGGTTTACTCTCGTCCACAGTTGCTATGCGAGTGTGCCACTGATACAGGCTCTGAGTGGGCATATGTACGTATCCATATCGAGGCCTTGGAGGTGAACCAGCCAGCAGGTCTGTTCGGGGGCGACATCTATGCATCGGCTACCAGCCAGACCCGAAAAAAAAGGGTTTGGAAAGAACAAAAGGGGATGGACGGAGATAGGGTTCTCAGCCTATTGATCATTTATGCCAACTTGCTTCACTGCAGCGTCGTACAAATGTCAAGAGTAAGCCACCCCGATTCCGCTCCCACATGGACGGAGATGGGATGCTTGAAGGTAGGGATTGCCCTTTCGACAGAATATCTTGTTGGGTATGCACATATAGAGCGAATGCTAGTGGGTATTGCGAACTCGCGAAGCGCCTTGTTCTCCCCTGGTTCTCTTTTTCTTTTTTTTTTATCCCTCTCGTAAGTAACCGTGCAGGACGTCGAGACGCCAAAACCAACAAGACAACCTGCATGCACGTATAAAAAGCTGCAGCAAGAGAAGCTGCGCCAGGACGTGACTTTGTCTCGGCCGCTAATTTGGGCTGGGAATTTCGTACCACCACACGTCGGGATGACCGGTAGTCAGGTATATTGACCGAGCTTTTTGGTGGTCTTGGTACTATTCGAGTACATCATCCCTTGGTCCGCCTGGATGACTAGTGAGGGCCCTGTGCTTTTTTCCCTCTCCCTCCCGTCCCTTAACTAGTAACTAGTGACTAGCGGCCTGGTCCCTTGCGGGGGATAAAGGTGGCTATCCCGTGGTACATGGAGTACATGCGCGAGCCTCGAGTTGGCAACTGTGGTAGCGGTGGTAGCAGTCGTAGCAGCACGAGCAGTAGCCGGAGTCACAGTAGCAGGAATGGTCCTGCAACTTCGTATATTCATGGGGCCGTTCCTCCGTGTCCCCATCGGCGTTTCTTGCAGCCTATAATCAACCTTGAAACAAAGGACCTGTATAGCCGACCAGGCAGTGACTTCGCCACAGGACCAAGCAGAAGCAAAGCTGGGACGAACAGGAAGAAGCAACGAAGGAGAGGATGCGCACAGTCGCCAGGAGTGAGTTCGAACGTACGTTACATCAACGTGAAGCAGGATGGACGAGGCGGCGAGCATCTTGATGATCCAAAAGCGAACGCTTGATCCTTTCTCTCATCTCCCTCTCTCTCCCTCGCTCTTGTCTGGTGCGTTCCTCATTCCCCCCACCCGTTTGCCTTTTTCTTTTCTTTTCCGTGGGATGATGCAGTCGGTATACACATGTATGTGCATCCTTGACATCCAACGTGATTCAGACATAGTCTGGCCCTGGGTGGGAAGGGGATAACATGGAGAAAATGTACTTATACATAAACACTCGATGCATCGACGTATAGGCGCAACTCTCACGCTCTTCTGCATATGCCGGGCATTTCTTTTCTTTTCTTTCTTTCTTTTTTTTTCTTCCCCCTTCTCGCCTTCGTTTCCTTTCCTTGAGTAATAACGAGCTCCTTCTATCCCTCTCCTGCTCCCCAGCCTGGCCTGACGAGAGAATTTGTCATGGGCATGGCTAATATGGGAATGCATATCAGAACGGGACGTGCGCAGAAAAAGAAGCCCCTTTTTTGCTTTTTGTATATCTGTCTGTAGTTAACCGTCCCGGACGGCCACGGACTTTATCGTGTTTTTGTATTTCATCGGTTTTATCTCAACGGTTATTCCTGCGGTACGATACGACATGAGCTATCATATCCTCGGCAACGGTGCATCAGAGAGGCAGAAGCAAAGGGGTGGTGGCTTGCATCCCGCTACTGCAAAAAAAAGACGCCTTAATGTATATATATATATATATATATATAATATTTGCTGAGGCGCGGAGAAGAAAGGAGATCGCACCATCCATCGCATCTTGCGGCGTCCACGCCTCCTGTCAAGATCTTGCAACAGAACGTGGGCATGGGTTCTGTGGACGCAAGGCCGAAGATCATGGAGGCGTAGTTAGTGCGTTTCTTAAGAGACTTGCAAAATACAGCAATGGATACTTTGATAGTAGGAGTACCTAATGCCAGGACCAGCCATTGAAGGCAAAGTCGGGGGTGTTTTTCTTTTTTTCTTTTCTTCGTCTTCGTCCTCGTCTTCCTCCGCTGCCTGGCCTAGGCATTTGCCGTTTTAGGGTGCATATGCTGCAGTATCAATTTGCAAGGCTTCCTCCCTGCCTCCCTCTGCTTCGGCAATCACCGCCTGGTAGCGAAGCCGCCGACAGTCGTTTGCCGTTACAACAGGCAAGCTAGTTAACGGGACAACGGCGGGGACACGCACGAGGCCCAATAGTCTGCTCGTTGACTGCTCCAGTCGCCGTTCAATGTCTCGAGAGACTCCATTTTTTGAGTGCGTCCTCGGGGATCCAACAGCTAACCGTCGTGCGTTCGAGGGTATCATTGGACAGACATCGCGACCTAGACTTCGTGTTAACGGGAAGAGCGCGCAGAAGGTGAAGGGCAAAGGCCTACTAATCAGCCCCTACGGGGATCTGGGGAAAAGGGAGCAACGGCCGGGCCAAGCTGCAGTCGGATGGCTCACTCTTGCAGCGCAGACGTTGGCCAGTCCTGCTCTTCCCCATGCCTGTCTGCCTTGATATACGTCTCTGAGGTTCGATATCGCTGCTAGGCCCCTTGCTGGAGGATTTTCCTTCCCGGCGGCCCGAGATGGGGCTAGTTAGGTTCTTTCGAAGCTCTGCAGCTGGGATATGCCTGTTTATTCAGACATATAGGACGCCCTGCTAAGGGGGCAGACGCTGCCAGCAGCAGGGCATGTCGGAAGAACGCTCCGAGCAAGGGAGCGTCTCCTAGCCTATGCTCGAACAGGCAAGTCAGTAGGCCCTCTGGCTCTCCTGGGCGGTGTCATATTTTATTGCATTCATCTTATATCCAAGTTGCATGTTTTATTTTTTGCAGCTAGGAACCGAAGAAGGTTTTATACTATGCGCCGTGGCTGGTCAGGAGAGAAATATCCACGACTCATCGACAGGCTGCTTCCTATCCACTATTCTATTACAAATGGTAACATAATCCTCACAAATCCAGGACCAGGATGGGGGAAGGCAAGACCTCCGTTCGCCCCCCCCACGAACGGGAGAGGAAGCGATGGCATGGCCTGATGGGACAAGAAAACAGACCATCCTCTAGAACTTGTCCTCGAGAAGCGATTGCAGCTCTTTTCGTTCTCCACTCCCCTGGACCATACGCCAAAAGACCCCATGAGCCTTCATCAAAGCCCCTGGCGAGTCGTATTCGACGGCTTCGCCCTCCTTCATGACCAGGATACGGTCAAAGTCGGCTACCGTGGTCAGACGATGGGCGACAACCAGCAGCGTCGAGTCTTGGAACTCCTCGCGTATGCTACGCTGGATCAGGGCATCCGTCTTCATGTCGACGGCAGATGTCGCTTCGTCGAGAACCATGACCTTTGGGCGCGCAACAATTGCCCTAGCCAGGCAGAGCAGCTGCCGCTGTCCCTGTGAAAGACTAAGTCCACCCTCGCTAATGGCATAGTCGAGACTCGGCGTCCTACTTCGGTCTTCTTCACCTCCATCGTTACCGCTCTCCTCGTCTGTCTCTCCGCTGAATAACTGGAAATGCACCCGCTTTAGGGCTGTCTGCAGCTGCTCATCAGTGTACTCGTTGAAAGGGTCCAGGTTTGAGCGTATCGTGCCTGAGAACAGAACTGGATCCTGGGGTATAATTGACAGCCGGCTTCTCAGGTCGTGTAGTTTTATGGTTGAAATGTCTATACCATCGATGTGAATCGTGCCACCCCGAAGCCCTAGAAGCCTGAACAATGCGAGTGTCAAAGTTGACTTGCCAGAACCCGTGCGCCCAACAATTCCGACGCGATGATTTGGCTCAACACTGAATGTAAGCCCGTTGAGGACCGGTGGCAGCTCTGGCGAGTAGGATGCTGTGATATTATCAACCTCTATTCGGCCTTTGCTTGGCCATCCTGCTGGAACTTCTTCTCCAGTATGGTCTTCTGTGACAACCTGTGAGTATTCAATTATACGTTCAGTCGAGTTCATGTCTAGCTGTGTCTCGGTATACTTGTCAATTGCCGATCCAATTAGCTGGGCTCCGTCAAGCATGAAGTTGAGAGCAAATCCAACAAGCGAAGGTTCAATACCCTTCGTCGACATGAGGATGAATGTTAGACATGCGCCGAATAATGCATCGGCCATTCCTGTTCTGAACGCCATCCACTCATTGAAGAGAATGATGTAGTAATGAGCTGATGTATGGTCATCGATGTTTCGATACATCTTATCCATGTAGGAGTCTGCTTTGTCGAATGCCCTAATCGTGCCAATGCCTTGCAATGACGTACCAAATTGCTCAATAATAGGTGACCGAGCCTGGGATTTGATGCGTCGAAGCTCTCGTGCTGTTATCATGTATCGAATTGCAAAATGTGCACATACCCCAGACAGGACAATTGTAAGCACTAAGATGTATGAGGAGACGAGGATGCTATCAAGATATCAGTTAGAAGGGTTATAGTGAACATAGGTCAGAGGTCGAACTCACGCAGCAACAAGGATGGAGCACAGATCCAAGATATCTAGAAACAGGTAAGCAAGGTCGTCTCCGAGCTTTGAATCAAACGTCGCGAAGTCAAGGGTGAACCTATTGATAACCCTGCCAACAGGCACAGTATCCACCCATCTCAACGGTGCTCGGAGAACTCGTGATGTCATCTTTTCAAAGAGGTCTTTTGATGCTCGGATTGTCCCTGTCCATATGAAAAGATGACTGAACGACTTGATTAATGTCCGGCTCATGGCCAACGCAAAATAAACTCCCAAGTAGAACCAAAGCGTATCATCTGCTGCTTTGTCCATTGACATCATCGTTTGGTTTAGGAGGATTTGGGCTTTTTCTTTCGGTTTAGAGGAACCCGTCCAGATTTTCAACCACCAGGACTATTGAAGAATAAATAGATTAGCAATAACTTTGAATTGATCCTCAGAATATAGAACCTACTCTGCCTAGGCCCAGTGCTTGAGCACTGCATAAGCATATGGCAACAGCTACCCAAAAGACAGCGCCTCCGCTGCTCTTTAGATATTCCTTGTAAACTCCCCATTTGACTTGACCTATTTCACGTTCTTCCGCCTGTACAAAGGTGGTTGTTGGTTTTTCCCGATTAGAATCTTTCCTTGATGCCCAGGCCATGGTTGAATGGCTGCCCATGCCATCTCGAAAGGAGCTGCTTCTCCTGCGGAAGCTAAGTGGCGCAGGAGCTCCTGATTTGGTAACTCCTGATGCAGTGCTCCGAACCTTGGTAAGCGTGTTTGTGTCGTCTATCTCGTCAGGGTGGCCAGCTTGTATCATGGCGCCGTCTTCAAGCACAACCATATAACTTGTCTTGGGCATGCAAAGGGCAACATGATGTGTCGCTAGGATCCGTGTCCTGCCTTGACCGAGCTCTCCTGTAAGTGCTTTTTCAAAGATATGCCGGCCGACGTGGACGTCGACTGCACTGAAGATATCATCCTTATCTCAAGCTTAGCTAAACATCTGTAACGGTACTGTGAGGCAAAGATAACACTCACCAGAACGAGTATTCCTGCCCTTGAGTATAATGCTCTGGCAAGAGACACGCGCCACCGCTGACCACCACTCAAGTTGATGCCACGGGGCCCAATTTCAGTCATGTCACCATCAATCAGAATATGGAGGTCATCGGTCAAAGCGCACACGTCAAGGACCTTTTTGTACCTCTCAGCGCTGTAGGGACATCCAAATATGATATTATCCCTCAGTGTTCCGTTCTCAATCCACGGTGACTGCGCGACGAAGGCTACCAAGGATGGAATAATCCAATTGTCCGGCGTTATGGTGTTATCTGGTGTATGGTAGACTGTAAAAGGGGGCATGGGAACGCTGATAGAGCCATACACCAGGTCAGCCTCTCCAAATATAGAACCCAAAAGCAAGCTTTTGCCTGATCCTGTAGGACCGCAAACTAAGCTGAGTTCCTTATTAGGGAATGTTAGGTTGATATTTTTCAGGATAAATCGGTCTTCCAGGTTAGAGGTATCTGAAGGCCAGGCGATGGATGCATTTTGATAGGTGATTGAGGACGAATCTTTGCGGTATTCCTCCTTGTTCGGAGAACTAAGATAGCTTTCAAGACGTCTCAAACTCACCATGCCCTCGATTACCCCGGTAATGACTATGGGTATCATTGATAGCGAGTCCTCAAGCTCAAAGAATACTTCCAGAGAGGCAAATGCAACGGAGGCGGTAAGTTTTCCTTCAAAGATAGCATACACCGCCAAAGCGACTGTAGTCATCATCGTTGGAACAGCACCCCAGCAGAAAATCATGCCAACATCTATTAGGGGAGATAATTAACATTTATCCTAAGAGTTGAGGAGTGCTGGGTCCCTAGTACTTACCGTACAAGCACGATCTCCATACTTCATTCATTTCATTCAATCGCACGCTCATAATTCTGCTTTGCCATTCTTTTTCTAAGGCTGCAAATTTTATTTGACGAAGGCCATGAAGAGCTTCTGAAACCACTCCTGTTTTGGTATCACGCGCTGACATGAGCCGGTCCTATTATTATATCAGTTTTACCGCTTCAACTTGTTCTGGTATTGTATCCCATTGGATTTGTACCTGTGTTTTAGAGTAAGCCTTCGATAGCCAGGCATTTAATGGAGCCAGAATCGTAAAGATAAGCATTGCGGCCAGTAAACTCTTCCATCTAAAAATTGTTAGCCTGAGGATCATAAATTTATGCATACGCTACTTACTTGATAAGCTTGAAAAGAACCACCAGAGAGAGGATGAACGTGCACGTAGAGAGTATAATCGTGCTCATAAAAGCAGCTGACAGACCCACCTCCTCACTACCGTCCTTGTTAGCAGACCTTCTACCACATAGCGAATTCACAGCAAAAAATCGTAGACCTACGCATCGATGCCCATGAGGTTGATGATCCACTGTTGAGTACCCTTTTTCTCTGAGTCTTCTTTATCAACTTCCTCTTCATTTCCATCAACCTCTTCATCCCCGTCTTCATCTGCCGTTGATTTTTCCGCGCCTCTGGTATCCTTTTTGAGCATTGCTTTCGCAAATACTGCTGCACAAAGCTGGGCTTCAATGCGGAGAGCAAGCTGAGAGTCACCAACCCAGCGCATCCAGGTACCTGTCCAACATGACAGGATCAATCCAACAGCCAGTATCAAGGTCCAAATCCAGTTGTCAATTCCTATGTTCTCACCCTCCTGCTTCCGCTCGAGAGAGTGGAGAATGAAGTACATGGAAACTTTTGGCACAAAGTTAAGCAGTGCCTCAGTGGCCGTCAGAATCCAGTGTTTGGCGAAGGTGGTATAGTGCAAGCCAAATATCTGCCGCCAGAGTGCCTGGGCCGGAGAACGTTCGGAGAACTTGGCCAACAGGTTCTCCGAACGTGTATAGTGGTCCATCCGAGGCAGTTCATGGATGTCGATGCTAGGGTTCTTAATGATGTATTTTACCAGATGGCCCGGCCAGGCAAAGGTGAACCGTGAGAGTGCAGACGCGGTGTATTGCCGATCAACCACCTTGTCGTTGATAAACACATCCGGGCGCCTCGGCAGGCAGAGACAGGCAAAGAGCAGACAGGCAGTGGCCACCAACTGAATGATCCAAATAGCCACTTGGAATCTGGTCAGGTTGTCATAATGAGCCGGTGTCAAAAGCCGTACATCTAGGAAACCTGACATGATGAATTGAGCCACCGAAGCAAGAGATGCATAGCTAGCTATTCGAAACTGGCTCGCGTATTCATGCTTGAACGAAAGTGCCATCACATGTGGTAGAAGTAGTACCTATGGAGCGTATCAGTAAGGCGTGGAAAAATCGTGGAGGGAGAAAAAAAAAAGTGCATACAAAAGTCCCAAATTGAAACCAGCTCTCGACTTCGCTATAGCGGACTGAGTCCTGGGTCGTTGAAATGACAGCTTTAACTGTCGATGCGACTAAGCCTACCACAGACGCCGTGTAGATAGCGGTCATCTGGACAGTAGTCGAATAGGATGATATCGATTCTTCCGTAGCTTCTCCATCCTGGTCTTCTGGCAGTGACTCCAGGCTGGTATATGATCCATGCCAAAGCTTCTGGATGATGCTATTGAGCGCTGGCAAAGTAGCTAGAAGTATCAGTACAGCTGCGGCAATTCCGACGCTCACAGCGACGGGGTCGATGTTCGGCGACATCGTGAGCAGCTACAGAGACTCAAGTCACACCACCCTGGTCATGAGATGAAGGTAGAAGGATTTTTGACGGTCGCTGTGATGGCGAGAAGAGAAGCTCAGCTAGCTATGTACCAGTGAGAAGCGTGGTGGTTTTGTAGTTTGACTAGCTAGCAGTCGATGACGACACGGCGAAAAAAGGCAACCAAGCTGGACGAGGAAGCGGGCAAGAGCAGGAGAAAATCGAAGCCAGCATGATCGACAAGACACGCAGCTAGTCAACTGTCTTTAGGAGCACGGCGTCCATCTAGATGGCAGCGTTCTAGTGTTTTGTGATACAAACAAGCAATGGCAGGGAAGAAGCTTCAGGCGAAACGCAAACCAGCAGGCTCGCTACTTAGTTAACGAGCCCGCCAGCAACTCACCAGCTGGCAGCTCGCTGGCTTACGAACTGGTCCACCCGCGGGCTGTCCCGATTAGTTCTCCGCAGGGGTCAAACACAGGACAAAAGCTGTCGTACATTGATGTGATTCAGCTAGTCCGTGGCTGGGCATGACAGGAGTTCAGCTGAAGCCCATGCAATACGCCATCACGGCGACGGAGACGATGCACCCGGTGAGTCACTCGAAGCCACGGCTGAAGAAAAGACACGATACTTTGAGGCTCCGGCGATGACCGGGAGAAGAGTCAGAACGAGTGATGCTGCGGTTTCTCCCGTAACCATGAACTGGCTAAACAATAAGACATGGACACAGTCAACTAGTTATCGGGAAGCCCACATCGATGTGGCCAGGAAGACGCACCAAAGGAACACAGTCACTCGCATGAGAAAGCAAAGGCGATGCGAGATGTTAGAGTAGTTATGGCTGTACAGGGGCGCTATCGGTACCCAGGATATCCATTGGTTATGTACCTTGGTTTCGAGGGTCCTTTCCGTTGGTCGATAGCAATATGGCGAATTGCTTGCTTGGAGGACAGGGGGAGCCTGCAACTATTGTAAATACTAAGGAAGCCGCATACATGTATGTAGTAGATAGAAAAGGCGAGTCCTCATATTCAGTAACTGCATAGAACTATAGTCGACAAAGGTACATGCACACACGGACTTGAGGGAAAGAGATTCAAGGGTGTAGCTTGCACCCAACACATGGAGCAGGCGGTAGAGTACTCTGGTAAACATCCGGCCGTTGCTTCCCCGAAACGTTCAGATAGCCAACGGCGCCTTTGTCCAAACGGAAGATTGCATGATCCACCAGGGTGTATGTTCCGGGAACAACCAGTTTCAGGTCCACTATGGTAGAGCCGCCTGGAGGAACACTGGTAGTGGGAACCCAGCTAGCAGGCGGACTCACCACGTCACCGTCGCGGTATAGCTTCGAGAATGTAGTGCCGATGACATGAAAGGCGCTGGTCAGGTTTGGACCCGCATTCCCGAAGAATATGCGCACCGTCTCTCCGCTCTTCGCTTTTAAGGGCTGGTCTCGAGTCAACGCAGACTCGCTGCCATTGAAAACCACAAGGCTCGGGTTCTCCTCAAGTGCATTAGGGTAAGAGAATTCCACAGTCGATGAACGTTTGCCATTCTCCAACATTCCGGGAGGTTCGTGGTAGAACTCACTCTGCATCACATAATACTCGCGGTCGACTGGGGGCAGGTCTCCGTCCTCTGGTTGTACATATATCAGCCCATACATACCGTTGGCAATGTGCACCGGGACTGGCGCCGCAGCACAATGATACACGTAGAGACCTGGATGCAACAATTTAAACAGCCCGGTCTTGCTCTCCTTCTCCTCGGCAGTCGTAAGTGCTGCACCTCCTCCTGGTCCTGTGAATGCATGACAATCGATGTTATGCGGGTTGCCCGTCACATCGTGGTTGGTCAGTGTTAGTTCCACTACATCGCCCACTCGAGCCCGTATAAATGGGCCAGGGACATTGCCGTTGAAGGTCCATTGCTCATACTTGTACTGATTGGATAGCTGAGTCGTTTTCGTGCTTGTGGTTAACGGCACCTGCAGGAGCACAGGGTAATCCCTCGTAATTGATGGTGGGACGTGTGGTGCAGTCGTGAAAACTGCAGTCTCTTTAGGAAGTTTGGAGTAATCAGCCGACGCCTCCGCGAAGAGATCGACACCGGTGTTGGATTCTATGGTAAATATCTCCCTTGATTTCTCTTTCCGATTCCTCGAAATAATAACTGAACCGACTGCGACGGTAGTGGCGATCCCTACCAGAATTGCAAGCGGAGTGTTGTTTGCTTCGGAGGCTCCTGAGCTCTTCGAGGTGTAGGTTGATACCCTCTGCAGCGGCAGTGAAACTGGCTTTTTTGGAATGACCGAGTAGCAACCAACAGTGGATAAGGTGGAGAGCTTAGCTCTTAAAGTTATCCTTCCTAAGGACACCCGAAAGGGTAGGCACAATGGCTTCATGGGTACCATATTTAAGAGTTAGATAATCCGGGTGTCTTCTCGCGATATTTGGACTATATAGAGAAGATGAAGGAACCCAGCCATAGAGAGGCAAAGTCTTGAGGCTTTATACTATGGATGTGGGATAGTAGTAACCCTCAGTATAAGTAAATCCATAGCCTTGAGCAGTCTATCGCTTGAGCATGCAGTCATAGTAGAAAGATCTGCGGTGTCATCGTCGTGAACTGGTTGCATTATTGCTGCGGATTTGGACTCAACGGTTGGAGGCAATACCCAATACTGGCCCTTGCACCTCACTCGTGACCAATGGTATGTATGTGAGAAGTTCTGCATATTCCACGTCTGACACGCGAGTTGATTCCTCATCCTCGAGCACCTGATGTAGCGGTCCAATAGGGAGAGCAGGGTTTGCCGGCCTCTCGGGGTTGGAATGCTCGAAACCGAGAGAGATCTGCAGAACGGTGTAACAATTCTATACATCTTCAAAGAAGCTGGCGTCTCTCATGAGGTTCGGTTGTAAGTATATGTCGAGTCCGCACGGATAAATATTGCCGGGCATTGGCATCGGTGCTTAGGCCGTCTAAATGTTGCATGAGACTCCGTTCCAACCGCATGATTTTGTAGCCTAGTACCCCAGACTTGGAATAGCACAGTCTCGTTTAGAATCTAGACTCGCTTCGCGGTTTGGAAACAGTAGAGAAGGACTCCCCTGTATGCCGTAGTTATGGCACCTATACGTGGCTTTAACTATGCAGAAGCGGTTCAACGTCCAACCAAATTGATCTCCTCTCATATGGTGCAGGCTGGAATACAGAGCAGAACAAAGCCTAAGTACCTCAGTGTAAAGGGTCTGAAGATGCCATAGAATCGTCATCGGCTACTCGTATCCGAGAAGCACGATTGGGGTATCATGATGTGCTTTTCGTGAGGACAACAGGCATCGTAATAACTAATGGTTAATGCTGCATAAATTAATTGGATGGTTAACTAGTTAACTGATAGGACGGTTTTTTAAAAACGAATAGTTATCGGGTGCAGGGAGAATAAGTAGATAGTATCCAACAGTTGCAAGCTCGATGTCGAGGTTGATTGACGTCGATATTAGGTCCCTCGTTGCGGTCTTGGCTTGTTTCTCCTTTCGGCATCTCGTCCGGGCTCATCTTAAAAAACTCCCTCTAGGAGACACTTCAGGCGATATCGTGGATAACCACATATCATCGTCCATTCTGTCTACGTTGACATTCTGGCTCTTTATATTATACCAAAACGTTATGGATATGCTTTATGATGATCTGGCCTGGGAGCAAAGCGACAACTAATGTTTGATGCCTTAAAAGGGCTACAAATCCTGATGTCTTGATCGTGGTTATCGCAACCGAACATCTGACATCCCGGCCGAAAGATCGCGCTCTTATAACAAGTGTCGGTGCATTCAATCTTTTTTTTTTTTTTTTTTTTTTTTCGCTATCGTATGGAGTTTGACGATGGGTTTGTCCTTTCTGGCCGTGGCATGTTCCCCAAGGTTCTAGAAGGCCGAAGCGGAAGTTGCTGTTATGCAGTATATCAAGGCAAACACAGCGGTTCCTGTCATATCCATTCTTGACTGGGGTGTGGAAGGCCCCTGTGGCATGGAACCGTACATTTTTGAAGGAGTTCTTTTACAGCGCATCCAATCTTAAAGAGATCTTACAGGGTGCCTGGCTGTGCTAGAGGCGACTGTCTTACGCTTGACCTGATGACTGATATCAACTCTGGAGTTTCTCTACGCCTAGGGGAGATATTTGCTACAGCTATTTAAATGCTCATTCGACAAGATCAGTTCTCTCTCAGCCCAGTCTGATGGCTAAGATATTACGAAACGACCTTTAACAATGAACATAAACGAGCCTGTGCAGCTTGGAGGCTACCCATCGCCGAACTCCAATCGCTACCCTTGCAGAGACCCAATATATCCATTTATTAACCCACCGCAATGATAATGTCGAGCCAGAGGAGGATTGCTGTCTAAATACTTAGTCAGAAGGATCCTATTCAACCACTAGGGCAGCCGGTCCATCTACGCCTGAATGAATAGGGCCATAATGAATTCAGGCTTTTCTGTGATGACATTTCCGGCCAAGTAATGTTCTTGTCGATGAACATTAAAAATCTTTCCTGCCATAGATCAGGACTTCACTCATGGTGTGTCCCCTGGGTTCACTAATAGTCCTATGGTGGCTCCTTTTGGAAACACCCGAAGATTGACCTTTGGGTATATCTGGCCCGTCTATAGTTTACGACTCACGGCTTCAATCTGTTCTTCGAGGTATAAAGACCCAGGAGAACATCACTATTCGCAATGGACACTCATCTAAAGCGAAACGACTCTCCGAGAAAAATGAAAATAGCTGGAAATGTGGCACTTCCTGGGTTATATACGGGCTACGTAGGAGCTGGGCCGTTGATAAAGTCCAGCTATTCGTTGCCTAGTCATTTTTTGGTGGGAATGAGACGCCCGAGCAGAGAAACCGGTTGCTGGAGACGAGGATCCAGTTCACTGGAAAAGAGCGCAGAGAAGTGGCACAGATCCGTTCAGTAAAAGCTAAGTGAGAAGAACTGTGACTACGCTAGACTGCACAATAGGTTTTTTGGGCTGAAAGTGATACATCTTAAGGCAACAAAGTGACTATCAATCGAGTCAAAAAAAAAAGCCATCTAAAGCTCACTTCCTTTCCAACATCTTCGCAAGCACTTAAGGTGAGATCGGGTGACTAAGCAGGCGAACATCCTCCGCGCTAAGCCCTTTGCGGTAGGCGGCAAACTCCCTCAGAGCAAAAGCGCAAAAGCAAAGCTTGGAGCTTCCAGTGAGAAACGAGAGAGGAAAGCAGCCAGCCTTCTGCAGCAAAAACGATACTTACCTCTGGTAACAACCACGTCGACGTGCTTGTTACAGCTGCATTTTCCCTGTCTTCTCCGTGCTCCTTACAAATCCCCGTTTTCCTCGCTCGAATTTCGAGTAGTTACTTGAAGCTCAATCCTGTGGCTCTAGTTATGGAGGGCAGGACTGCGGTGGAAGCTCCAGCCGCTGCGGCGAACGGGACAATGGACACTGGGATGGACATAGATATGGACCTGGACCTTGGACAGCTACCTGAGCCTGATCCGATTGAGCTAGTTAGTGAAGTCTGCACGGTGGGTTCCAAGACTAAGGCAGTGCTAATACTACATCATACAGGAGCCCGTTTCTACTCTGACAGTAGCGTCTGCGATCGCGGGGCAAACCGAGGCTGGAGTAGCCAACCCCAATGACGAACCACAGCTTGAGAAAGTCCATATTCGGGGAGTTGACGAACTGACTACGGATGATATCAAACGTTTTGCTGCCGAGCATTTCACCTTAGAAGAGCCTGAGCGCATTGAGTGGATAGATGATACCTCGGCAAACATTATATACAGCTCGGCAGAAGTGGCATCCAAAGCCCTATCATCATTTACTCAGGAGAATGTCGAAGATGCAGTTACTAGCTCGCCCTCACTTCGCCTTCGGACGGCGAAGGCACTGTCTTCTCACCCCGATTCAGTTCTACAGGTCCGGCTGGCTGTCAAGTCGGATCGAAAGAAACATCGCGCATACGAGGCTAGCCGCTTCTATTTGATGCACCCAGAGCACGATCCTCGAGAACGGATGCGGAACGAATTTTCCGGCAGAAGACTTCGGGGACCCAGAGGTGATAATGATGGTGATTATCGGAGAAAACGATTTGATGATAAAGAGCACCGTCGACGCAGAGGCCAAGCCAGAGACGATAATTTCGATGTTAGTATGTACGATGACGACGCGGACCGTGGGCGACGTTCTTCCAGTGGTGATATATCTAGTGCTGGTTCACATAGCAGGAGCCGAGTAAGAAGGAATAACCGTGACCTTTTCGACGATCGTATGGAATCGCTGGAAGGGCGACTTAGGGACCGCAGTGCTTCACCTTCTAGGGCAAATGGAGACGGACCGGATCTTCGACTTGCTGGTGGCTCATCGTCTAATAGGCGTTTCCGTGATCGACCCTCTCTTTCTGGCCGTGACAGTAGGGATAGGTCCCGTTCTAATGCTGGCAAAGAGCTTTATCGTTCTGGCAACAACGCAGGTGATGAAGCCACAAGAGGGAGGGAATTGTTTCCCAACAAGACTGCTTCAAGCTACCTAAAACAAGAGCTACTGATGAATACTGTGTCTCCACCAGCCAACACAGTGCATCGTCGATCCGATGCTTTTGATGCTGCTGACGAAACAACTGATCTGTTTGCCCAGCGGATGACTGTTCCATTTGTGGATGGTGCTAATGATTGCGCTAAACGTTCCACCAAGCGTAATGTGGAGTTGTTTCCAGATTCAACAAAGGACCGGTCTCAGAGTTTGAACATCCGTGGCCTATCGTCGGAGAATAATGGAGTTTCTATTCGAGGGGCTGCCTCTGGTGGGATATCTATAAAAGGGGCAGCAAACGTGAGAGAACTTTTCCCATCAAAGTACACTGGCAACGAAGGGAAAGAGTTATTTTCAGATACCCTCGAAGGACGAGGGGGGAGGAGAAGACGCGCAGAAGATATGTTTGGTTGATTGGGGCTGGCGCTCAATCACTTGGCCGTGTCCACCATTGCATTGGACGCACTCTTGATACCTAAAGCAGGCTTTTGATTTACTAATTGTAATGAAGATGGGACGAAATTGAAGTTATTTAAAATAATATATAATCTAGCAATGGCGTTTGGGTTGGAATTCTATCTAATTTGCATACGACTGATGATACATACTTTGAGACTTAGGTTCAGATAATCGGATTGACTGAGCTGTATTGTTATAGCAATGTAGTGTCCTTCAAGGAACAATATGTAGCCATCGTTCCATGCACCTCTGCACCATGGGGAAGGGAGACAGGGTGTTTGGTAATTAGATGGCAGTTCAATATTGGCACGTAAGAATAAATCCTTCAGCAATCGGACAGATAATGAACTCCGCTGCTGTACACACATATGCCTGGTCAAGGTAACCAATAAGGTAAGGATACAGAATGTAGCCTACCTTCCCACTAGATTGTGAATTAAGAGCTGCAACTTGGATCGATAACCACAAGTAACCACGCATATCGGCCTGGAAATCTGCAAGCAATTGTGAAATGCAAGACGAGAGTTGAAATTTGAACGTTTCTTTTTCATTACATCTCCTTCCGATTACCCTTGTAATGGGAGGTAGAAATGAGCTCTATCTCGACATAAGACACATGACGAATAGATAGCACGGTGGATGTCAAAAAAAAACAATTCCCGTTTTCTTTTGCTGTTAAATAAAAGGCCGATATGATGCATGTCCCGTTTATGCGGAGTCCCGCTTGCCCTCCTTAACCTCCTTCTATAGAATATATTAGCCTGAAATTGCCTTGAAAAAGTCGGCATGTATTCGTACCAATGCCTTCATGGTTCCGTGAAGAGCATGTCTGTGGTTTCTTCGGAACTTGGGGTCTGTGCCCTTGAGAGATGGGTAGCGGTCAGTCTTTGGCTTCTTGATACTGTATTATCCAAAAATTGTATTGTCAGTTATGTCCCACTCTGAGCCCATTTTTTTGTATGTCCAAAAATATTCGCCGATAAGCGCTGTATGTAGAGCAACAGTTCTTCAATCGCATGGCGGCGCAGACAGATTCAACTCGCTTTGGCTTAGGGGTTTAAATATCGACGTACCCGTTCCTATGGGCCTTCTTATTCTGATTGTGTTGCGACGAGTTCTTGGATTCTGTTCGTTTGAGATAAGCTGTTAGCGGTTGCAATTCGCTCTAAGTGCTTCGAAGAGCGCCAGTTTTAGGAAGCAGATTTCGCGAAGAATCGCAACTTTGGCGGAAGGGCAAACGTACTGGCCATCTTGACGGTCTGGCGGCAACTTTAACGGTTGATGTAAGAAGGTCGTCGTTGTCGAGGTGAACTTTTTTGAGGAAGCTGCGACCTTCAAGTTGTTTGTGTGGATGGGCTCGCTTACGTTGGCGCTGGAGGCGCTAGTCCGGATTAGGCCGCAGTTTCACCACTTTGCTCTATCAGAATCTCATTTACACCCAACATGAAGAGCAGAGAGGAGATAATGAAATGAATTGATAGCAAGGGAGGAACTACTTGAATTTATATATATTATAGGTACAGATATATTCTGCACAAATGCGGTTTATACCTCTATCTACGGCAACGTATCGGTTGAGCAGCGGCTAAAGCAGCACCAACTACATATCACGTGATTGAATCCGCGTCCCAAAACGGCTTAGGCCCGAGACGTCCCGAAAGTTCAGCGACTTCAAGCATCGCAACATCTCAACGCCAGGACGACCTTCAACATCCCACTCGAAGCCCATCCCAAGGCCAATTGCAGCCATGTTCTCTTTCCGCTTTGCCAGACCAGTCTTTAGGACCGGAGCCACCGCTCTCCGCGCTCCTCTGTCCCAGAGAACCTACGCCACGGCTGTTGCAGACAAGCTAAAACTGTCTCTTGTCTTGCCCAAGGAGGTGCGTTATAAGAATCTTCGGCTCCCCTCATTCCCCATCGATGCGCTATGTCAGCGTAATATGCTCTTGAAATGACTTGGGGTGTGATATACTGACAAGTTGGCTCGGAATAGACCATCTTCAAGTCCGCCGATGTGTACGTATTATAACCTCAAACCCATCCAACAATTCACTCGACAAAGACCCAATTCCCCATCTCCAACCTATAATTGTGATGAAACCACGAAAAACAGCATATGTTAATCGAGTATTTTCACATATTTAGCGTCCAGGTCAACATTGCCGCCGAGTCCGGTGACATGGGTATCCTCTCCAGCCACGTTCCCAGCATCGAACAATTGAGGCCCGGTCTCATCGAGATCATCGAGGAGGGCGGTCAGACCAAGAAGTTCTTCCGTATGATATAAATCTTTCATCCAACTCTTGTTCCATATCTGTAACTTGATATCAAGCCAGCCGGAGTCTTGGCATCGATATCAAGTTTTTTATATTGGATGTATTTGGCATGTACTGATGTGATATTCTTCTGTTTTAGTTGCTGGTGGATTTGCCGTTATGCAGCCAGACTCCAACCTCAACATCAACGCCGTTGAGGGTTTCCCTCTTGATGCCTTCAGCGCTGATGTGAGTTTCGCTTGCCCTTATCTCTCTTCATGCCCTCGGGAATAAATATGAGATGAAGATACGGGGGTAAATACATACAATGGGACAACCAGCTAATAAACCGACAATAGAACGTCAAGTCCCAGCTGGCTGAGGCCCAGAGACTCGCCTCCGGTACTGGAAGTGAGAAGGAAATCGCCGAGGCCAAGATCCAGGTAGAGGTGCGTTACAATTCACGACCCCGTTGTTTTCCATTCTACCCTGTCAGTCAATGGATACGTACTAACATGCGACTTCCACCTGCTTCAGGTCCTCGAGAGTCTCCAAGCTTCTTTGAAATAATAGAGTTGTAGGATGTATATATTCCGTTTCATCCCGACTGACGAAAACCCGTTTCTCTCACTGTTGAACCTGTAGAATAATAAACAGTAGCTGTTTTCTCTAAACCCCCAAAGAATTTTCGCATACATTTACGACGCTTTTTTTAACATGCTGATCGTAGTTGCTGTTTTTGATATACAATATGTTTCATTTCAAGAAGTAACGTAAATAATACATATCTATTCCGCGTAAAATCAGAATCAGTATCAAAGAATAAATCAGGTTTTCCTCAATTCATTTCTTCCCAGGTGAGAATATGACTGGCTTTGCATATGTTTGGCATCCATGGGAAGTAAACAGGCAAGGAATAAATCAAAGAGCCGGCCACCTCGCACGCTACCTACCAAAACAAAGGAAAAACATACATATATACCATAAACTCATCGTGCAATAAAAGTCAAGTCAATGGACATGAGCAGAAAACAAGAGGACAAATACGGAACCGGGCAAAAAGGGGCAAAAAAAAAAAAAAGGAAGCAGGACGTGATAAATCGTGAATATCAGCCTGATAAAAAGACATGACAGTATTTATTAATCCAGGGGGAAAGCCATGTACATGGATACAAGAAGAAGGCATCATTATATCCTTTGACATTAATTTGGGGGTATCATTTTCTCACTGTTATTTTGATTATTTGATTTTTTATTTATCTGTTTAATTTTTTTTTTTTTTTTTTTTTGATTTATAGCTTAGTCGGTTGGTGAGCCGATTATGTCCAATCGACACTATGCTGGCGTTGGGATCTGGCGATTCGTCGTTCTGCACGCCTTCGACCGCTTCTGCTGGCGTAGCTACCGCTTAGGTCGGTGCTTACCGTGCCTGGGGAATGGAGGCCGGCATGGCTTATGGGGAGTGGAGGCGGAGGAGCGGGGATTGATGATGGAGCTGCCACGGATCCGGGGGGATGAGCTGAGGATTGAGGCATTGGGGAGTGTGGAGGGTTGAGTTGGGATTCCGGTACTTGTGAATGTGAAGGTACGTGTGAGTGAGCTGGTGCTGGTATGGGTGAATGTGAGGGTGCACGAGACTGCGACGGTGGGTGTAGCTCTTCCTGCGCCTGTTGGCGCTCGCGTTCTTCGACACGACGCCAGTGGTCGTCTTCTGAGAACGAGCCCTCTCGGCCCTGACGCCGGTGCTCACGACGACGAGCTTCACGCTCTGCTCTCTTTTCTTCCTTTGTAAGCTGTCGTAATGTAACATGGCGTCCCTCAGGTTTGACCGTTATGGCAACTTGAGGAGAGTCGTATGCGTCTTCTCGATTTCCGCTTCGTCGCCTGTGGCCTGATCCGGCTGTTTCAGCAGCGCCTGCCACGGCAGTGCCTACACCGAGTGTGGATGGGTATCTGTGATGACTGCGGTGTTTGCGTCCGGGACTGGGTGTTCTATCGGTAACTGAGGAGGCGGCTGGCGGAGGTGGTCGTCCAGCGGTGCCTGATGGTCCAGGAGCAGCGTCAGAGGCCACTAGCTCGCTGGATGGGGAATGAGGTCTGTCATAACGTCTGTCCCCCTGTTGTTTGCGTTTGCTGTTTGCCCGGGCAATTCGTTCATGTTCAAGGTCTTCTTGCCGTATCTGCTCCACTCGACGGTCTTCCTTTGATTTCCGGCCGAAGAAGCTCTTCACGGCAGCAAAGGCGCCTGCTCCAAGGAGGGCGTTGCGCACGGGATGTCCACCGCCACCGCCGCCGCCAGGCCTGGAGTCCTCGGTGTGGGTATAATAGTCAGTATCTGTGTAGGAAGTGGTTTGATCTTCACTGGGAGCACCATGGTATTGGCCATGGTGTCGATGGGGCGGCGGTTGTGGCGGCCGACCTTCCTCCACACGGCTGATAGAGTCATCATAGCTATCTGTGACTGTGTGCGCAGGATGGTAGCCCGACTCGGAGTAATCATCCTCACGGCGCTTGTTGAATGCCTTCTTTCCCAAGCCCACCAAGCCAGCCAGAGCACCTATGCCCAACAGCTTCTTCCCCCAGCCCCCATGATGCGACTCCTTTTCATTGATATAAGGGGTAACTGCCGTGTCAGGGGATCGACTGCGGCTTCTGCTCCGGCTTCTGCTTCTACTTCTGCTTCTACTCCGACTTCGACTTCTTCCACGACCACCACGCAGCTGGTTACCCAGCATCGCTAGTCCAGCACCTGCAGCTCCGGCAGCTGCTAAACGACCAAAGTTTCTATGGCTGCGTTCGTCGTCGTCAATGACTTCGGGCCCGTAATAGTGGCCTCGGGGGTCATATCCAGCACCAACACGGCGTTCATGGAGGTAAGAGAGGATGATGTAGGTGACAAGCAAAGCGAAAGCAGCCAATGTGAAAAGGATAAACAGAGAGATTGGAGAGCCGTATAGAGTTAAGCCTAGCGGGATCTGAGCAATTCCAAGTAAGGCTAGAGCGCGCCCAAGCCAGTGATGGATCTGGTACGGGGGTAAGCAGTAGTCATAGCGGTTAGCGGATTTGGTCTAGAAGATGAAAGATTGATAGCCGGGTGATTGGTCAAGCATACCATTAGTTTCAGAGAAAGGTGCAGCCTGCGCTTTCCCTTGACATGACCGTGGATGAACCAACCCCAGAAAGTCTGCGCAATGACCATGACGTATATAGCAAGTCCAATTCCATGGTGAGGGTTGGTCAGACTTCTCTTGGGACCGACTGCGAACCATCCGAGGGTAAACACGACAGTGGTGAGAAACAGAGTGAGGATCTGCATCCATATGTGTAGCCTTAGAGCCCAGTACGAACTCCTCGAGTAGAAGCGGGCGAGCAGGATGGAGATAGGTACGAGGCCGAGGAAAGTGATTGCCGCAAGGGCACCGTGAGCCCGTATAATAGAATGGTATCCGGGCAAGTTCTTAAACCTATTTCCCATTCCTAGAAGACGTTAGCCAGGCGTAAGCAAATGAAAGAATAGGAGAAGGGGGTACCATTGTACTGCATGGCCTCAAAGTTGAGGCCCATGAGATTGGGTAAGAGGAAAGTGTTGCGCTGCGAGTCCCATGTGCCATCGCCGACATTGAGCACATTGGAGGCATATGTGCCTGTCCCCGGCGGGCCCAGGCCTGAGTTCGACATGGCAGGCTCAAGAAAGCAGCAGAAGCGACGGATAAGCCAGTAGTTCTTCGCGGCGAGAGCCAGGCAGATCGGTCTAGTAGGAACGCTGCTTGTCGGCGACGGCGGAGGAGATCTTTCAAGATCCCTCGCTCCGACTTAGAGGACCATTCACCTCCTCCGGCCAGTATCTACCCAGTGTGTATTATCCAGCTATCTGCAGTGACCGTGGAGGTGTCCGTCCAGTGGGTATATATCGTGGGTTGGCAGCTGAGGTTGCTGAGATCGAAGGTGGCAGGAAATGTCAGTCCGGGAGAGGAGGAAGATGTCAGAAGGAGAAGTAAAGGGAAAAAAAAAAAAACAAAAACAAGCCAGGGTGGTACAAGGTGGCCAGACGCCGTCAGCAAATATCCAGCGACCAAGTCAGCCCAGCCATCCAAGGATGCATTCGAGATGTATCAAACTGCGACTTCAGCTTCGTCTTTTCGACTTCGACTTTTTCGGAGAAAAAGCGACAACAACGGTTTTCCTCATTCGGTTTAGCGCCGACAACTCATAACCGGGACAACCGCTGAGTAATTTATGACTAATTACTTACATAAGATCTCACGTAAATACTTACTAATATTTTACTAATCCAGGAGAAGCCTCGGCTCAGCGAGACAGCGAAAGACGGCAGGAAAAGCGAAACGCAGGCTTGGATAGCCGAAAGATGGGGAGGAGAGACTTAAGAGACCACTCGAGCCGGCAGGGAGGGCGCAGGAGAGAAAGAGTCTCATTTGCATTGCTCCATCTATTGGCATATCTGGCTATCTAGGTGATCTATTCGGGCGGCACGATGGCGGGAGAAGTTCGGCAGCCCATCGACCAGGCGTCGTTTGAGCGCTACATCGACGCCCAGGTCCCGTCTATCAGGACGCCATTGACCATCAAGCAGGTAAAATTGTTCTTTCTCTCAGCTTGCTATCTGTATATATAGAGTGCAACTAACGGCAGGTAGTTTGGATTCGGGCAGAGCAACCCAACGTACCAGCTCATCTCCGCCGACGGGGCAAAGTATGTCCTCCGCAAGAAGCCACCGGGCAAGCTGCTGTCCAAGACGGCGCACCGAGTCGAGCGCGAGTACCAGATCATCCATGCGCTGGAGAAGACCGACGTGCCCGTGCCGCGGACCATATGCCTGTGCGAGGACGAGAGCGTGATCGGCACGGCGTTTTATATCATGGAGTTTCTGGATGGGAGGATCTTTGTCGACCCTGCCATGCCGGGCGTGACCCCAGACGAAAGACGAGAGCTGTAAGCGGCCTTTTTTTTTTTTTTTTTTTTTTTTCTCTACGTTGGATTGGGTGAAGAAGATACTGACATTATTGTGTGGTGGTTAGATGGAAAGCGGCGGTGCAGACACTGGCTCGCTTCCACCGGGTCGACCCCCGGAGCGTGGGCCTGGACAAGTTCGGGCGGTCAGGCAGCTTCTACGACCGGCAGCTGGCGACGTTCCAGATGATCCACGCAGCGCAGGCGAGCACGCGGGACATCGAGACAGGGCGACCGGTGAACGAGCTGCCGCACTTTGACGAGCTGGTAGCCTTTTTCACGACGAAGAGCAGCCAGCCTCTGGACCGGTCGAGCCTGATCCACGGGGACTACAAGATCGACAACATGGTCTTCCACCGCACGGAGAGCCGGGTGATAGGGGTGCTGGACTGGGAGATGGCGACCATCGGGCATCCGCTTTCAGACCTGTGCAATCTTACGGGCCCCTATGCCAACGTCGAGGGCGGCCCGGCGGAGACGAGGTTCAGGAGCGAGGGGATCGAAGGGCTGCCGACGCGAGACGAGTGTGTGAGGTGGTATGGGGAAGTGAGCGGGTGGGCAGTCAGCGGGCGAGAGCTGGGCTGGGAGATGCTTTCACGCCTGCGGGGCTCGATTATCATGCAAGGGATAGCAGCGAGGTATGCGCTGAGACAGGCAAGCAGTGCGAGGGCGAGGGAGTATGCCAGTCTGATGAGCCCTTTGCCCGCAAGGCCTGGGAGAAGGTCTTGCAACTGAGGGATGCCACCACTACCGGCAGTAGCAGTAGTAGTAGTAGTAGTAGCAGCAGCAGCAGCAGCAGCAAGCTGTGACTAACTCGTTCTTTTCTATGACATGTCTCTGATGCATCCATCCGTGGCCTCTTTACTCCGTGCCCGCCTACGGCTCTGCTGGCCCCCTGTATATACATACATACATATGTATATATACTCCATCTGCTAACAGGACCAACCCATGCTTCATGCGGATGTCTGCCACGTGTCTCTCCTAGGGAGTCTCTCTTTCGGTCCTTTTCTTCTTCGTCTTCTTCCTCTTCCTCGTCGGTGATGTCTGTCTGCCCAAGGTTAAGTAAGACCCGGGGTGGTTCAGAAGAAGCAGTCTCTCCGGCAGGGCTGAACAGGCGCCCTCGGCCTGTCTTTGGACATGTCTCTCCCGCTAATTAGTTGCCTGCTTCCCGTCAGTAAGACAGCAAGGCGTACGGGGTGTGCACTGTAATAAGAACTCAGCTCGGTGGCGTGGCTGAACAGTGGCGAGTGGAAGAAGTCGAAGCAGAAGAGGCTCAGGGGTAACCGAGATATCACCACCACCACCACCACCACCACCAGGAGAGCAGTAGACAGGCAATGATAGTAATATTAACGAGTAGAGTCACAGTCGAGTCGGCCAGCCCGAGGTCTCCACTGGCATCGTAGTAGCTGACTTGGGAGCAGCATCAGGAACTATCAGCAGCACCAACGAATGGAGCCCGGCCAAGGGGCTGAAGAAGACTCAAGGCCGTTTCACGTCAGGGATGCCCTCCAGCTCGTCCGTTTCTTCATGCTGAGTCTCATCATCATCGGCAGCAGCAGCAGCATCGCCGTCCCAGCCCAAGGCATGCTGAGTCCTCTGAGTCTGCCGTCTCCGTCCTCCCTGGCGCTTCCCTGGCCCTCCCCGTTGGCTCCTTTCCAACCGCCCTGGACTCCCTTGAGTTATAACCCGGCGGATGCGGCTGTTCTTTTCTTCTTTTCTCCTTCTCTTCGTCGTCTTCTCCTGCTCTTCTCTTTATGCTGCTGCCTGACGTCTTCCTCCTGAAGTCTGCTGGTACGTTCTCTCTCTCTTCTTGCTCTTCTTGCTCTTCTTCCTCTCTCTCTCGTCTTTCCCTCTGCTATCACCGTCTGCTGCCTTGCGGCTCTGTTGGCTTGTGGCTCTGCTAGCCTTTTCCCGGCTGGGTTTCCGTCTTTCTTCCCGCCGCCGATCCACACACCACAGCCTCATCTTCATCTTCATCTTCATCTTCATCTTCATCATCATCATCTTCTTCTTCTTCTTCGCTTCTTCTTCGCTTCTTCCTCTTCCTCGTCTTCGTTCTTCGACGCATCAGCCTCGTCCTCGTCTCGTCTGGCCCTCGGTCGGCGTGTCTCTCTCTTCCATCCCCTGTCCGTCTCTCTGTCCCTGCCGTCTGCTTCGACCAGATGGCCTGACTGTCAGCCTGTACGTTCCCTGGCTATTCCCTCCTCCTCCTCCTCTTCCTTCTCTTCCCCCTCTTGCTTTCTCTTCTGCCTGTCTGTCTCTTCCGTCTCTTCTGTCCGTCTCTCTCTCCTCTCTCTCTCTCTCTCTCTCTTTCTACGTTGTATCCTCGTTGTCGTGCTGGTCCCGTCCCGTCCTCGCCTGAGGTCGCCTCTTCCCCCAACTGAATACGACCCAGTGAGGCCGTTGGCTCTGTGTCCCTACTTTGTCCCCCTGTCACTCTCCACCGATTCTGCAGTCACTCTCCCTCTCCCTCTCTTGTTCTCTCTCAGTCTACTTCTTCGTGTCTTTTTGCGTCCTCTTCGGTCTCCCGGCAATGTGCTGATAAAGTGCCAGGCCAGACTTGCTAACCCTTCCCAGCCCGTCCGAGAATACCAAAACCAGGAAAAGGAACAGCACAGGAAGGGCAGACACAAAAACACCGAGAAGAAAGGGGGGGGAATAAAGCTCTAGAAGAAGAGAAAAGAAAAGAGGGGGGAAAAAAAAGAAGAAGAAGAAGAAGAAGAGTCGCCCGAGTCTGGCGGAGGTTACCTCGTCTCTCTCTCGCTCTCGCTCTCTTATGTCGCCGAACCTGGACTCGCCCATGAAATGATGAACTACGACTCAGACGACGCCCGGAACCTCTCTCCGCCCCTCGAGAAGCAGAAGATCGTCTACGAGCCGCACGAGTCCCCTCCGCCCTTCATCCCCGAGGACAAGAGCGAGACCTGCAGCCCGGTCGATGCCAACACCAACAGCGGCAGCAGCAACAGCAACAGCAAGCCAGGCGGAGGCGGCCCTGGAGGAGGTGGTGACCGTAAGCGTCGACGATGTGGCAGATCAACCAAGTCAGCGTTAAGCGACGAGCTAATACTGAGGTCCCTAGCTCCCAATGACCCCGAGATTGCCTACAGGTCCAGAGAGGCGCCCCTCAGGCGGGATTCTTCCTCCTGCTCCTCCTCCCCAGTCTCGGAGCATACCAGCGGTGCTGAGGACGCCGCCAGTCTCCAGGACGTCTACGGTGCCCTTCCCCCGGACATTGAGCTGAAAAGACGACTCCAGTCGACGTCGACGTCAGAAGGAGGCGCAGCTAGAAAACCCTCGTCGCCGACCTTGATCTCGACCTCCAACAACCATCACAATAACAACAACTCTGCCGAAAACAACAGTACCAGCGGGCGGGCTTTGTGCGAGGTTCCCGCAGCGCTCTCCTGGCCTCCCTCTTAAAGGACGGCCGCCCCCAGGCCCTCTGTCTTGCGCTCCCGTTCCTGCTTCCGCCTGCCACCCATCAGCAGTGTCGAGCAGGCCGTAGCCGGTAGGATTCAAGTCGGAGATCAAGCATGACCTATCCTCAGAGGCCAACAGCCCAGCGGTCGAGGAGGCCGGCGTGGGCCTCTCCTCGATGCGCGGCGGGACGCTCCAGGACTTTTTTGCTTGCATGTATCGAATCGGCAACAGTCAGGAGTTGAACGTAGG